CATTGTACTAGAGATCTGCGCCACTGTGAAAAAGAAAGGAAAGACTGCAGGATTAGGAAATAAATAATATATTCCTTCAGAATGAGATAACTGTATACGCTTCAAATCTGACTTTGAAGGTATCTATCCCAAACTATTAAAACGAATGAACGAATTTAACAGGGTCACAGTATACAAAATCAGGATATAAAACAAAAATCAGTGATGGGAATTATATTAGGAATAAATAGTGAAATATGAAAGTTTGTGTTTATAGCATGTTACAAGGTATAAAACACTAAGGAATAATTATTTGGAAGTGTAAGACCTCGGTGCTAAAAACTGTAACTCTGAAACAAAAGAAGGAGACATAAAGGCCTGGAAAGATACATTGTATTCCTAGATGAAGAGACTCAATAGGTAAACTGCCATCTCCCAGATTGAGGGGCGATGTAATCCCTATCAAAACCTAGTAGATTTGTTTTTCTGGTTGAAATTATTAACACTAAGCCTTAGACCAAATAAAAAGGTAAGAAAGTCAAAACAATCTTGAAAAAAGTAACGAAGTTAGATAAATTAGGATGTCGGTGTTTAATAAGGATAGATAGAGCAACATGGAGACAAGAGTCCAGACGTGGATCTCTATCTATACCATCACTTTGTCTTCCATAAATGGCCACAGCAACTCAATAGGAAAAGGAAAGACTTGCTCACAGATGATGCTGGAAAAACTAATCAACTATCCAGCAGAAATGCACCTTAGCTCCTACCTCACACCGTAAGGAAGAATTGGTTTGAGACAGACCACAACCCTAAGCTGATATCTGACATACAAAATCATAAGGACTCTTTTGGTAGTCAAAGAGGTTTTTTTTGTTTGTTTGTTTGTTTTATTTCAAAAGGTTTTATAACCATTAACTATTAAAAATCAATTTATATGTGGACATCAACATCAAAAACTTCTACTCGACTCCATATTTGATGCACTGTATTTGCTTTTTGAAAATATACTTATAATCATAATATTTAAAGAGCCTATTAGTACCAATAATCAAAACAGACACAATTTGCAATATGACCCCTACACCTAAGCCTCAGGGAAATAGAAGAGTGGCCAGAAAGCTTGTAAGACCCAGAAGCCCAGGACATCAGCTGTGAAATGGTGTCTTCTATACATGCTCTCACCCATAGGGCTGCCTGGTTGACATGCCAACGTAGACAGGGGATTCCATATGTCCCAACCCTAGATGGAGAGCTTCAGGTGGTCACTGTTTGCTGACAGAGGGGGATTTAGTCTCCTCCAGGTATGTCCTCCCACAGAGCTTGTCCAAGTCCAAGTGTGCTGTAGAATGTCTTTCTGTATGCTGTGAATATGCTCTGATTGGTTGATAAATGAAGCTACATTGGCCTATGGCAGGGCAGGATAGACCTGGGCGGGAGGGGGGGAATGCAAGAGAGCTAGTGAGAGAAGAAAGGAGAGTGGGGCAGACACTGCTAGACGCCCCCAGGAGAAGCAAGATGTAAAATACAGGTAAGCCACAAGCCACGTGGCAAGGTATAGATTTATAGAAATGGGTTAATTTAAGATATAAGAGCTAGCTAGCAAAAAGCCTGCCACGGCCATAGTTTGAAAATAATTAAGCCTGTGTGTGTTTATTTGGGTCTGTGTGGCTGCAGGATCGGGTGGGACACAGGATAATTTTCAGCTACACAAGTGGTCCACTCTGGACACGTGTGTGTATATATAAGCAAAGCTAAATGGACTCAATAGGTTATACATGCATATATATGTGTAAAATGTGTGTGTGTGTTTGGATATGCAACAATATAATTTTTAAAAGAACATAAATTTGGAGGGAATGGAAAGAGTTGGGAAGCGAAGAGAGAGGGATTGGGGTAACATAAATGCAGTGCACATGTATGAAGTCCTCAAGAACCTATTAAATAAAAGAGTAGGAAAATAATTAAGATATAAACAATATAAAAATTGGCCAGAATTGAGTAGACACGCCACAAAACAAAAATACATAAAACCTAAGAATGTACATGAAAATAGTTCTAATATTACTGATCACCTCAAAAAGGCAAATTAAAACCACATTGAATATATGTCACACCTACTAGAGAGGCTGAAATTAGAATGATTAACACCATCAGAAATTATGGAGAATAAATATCACCCAGATAATCCCTATTTTTAAAAACCACTTGCCCGTTTCTCATCAAGTTAAATGTTCAACTGCCCTACAGCCAGCAAACCCACTCCTTGGTCTTTACCTAGAGAAAAGAAAGCATTTTCCTACACAAGTGCTTATTCAAGACTATTCCTGCCTCTTTAATCCAGATCAATAACTGCAGTACACAGCTATCTACCAACAGAATGCACAACTTGCCGAGTACTCACAAATGTAACCTACTCAGCACAAACAGAAATGAATCCTTGAAACCCACAAGAAGACAGATGTCTATCATAAACATCAAGTTGAACAAAAGTCATAAATAAAAGTATACATACATATTTCCATGGCTCAGTATATATAAACTCCACACTAATCCGCAGTGATAAAAATCTGGTTTTTTTGTTTTGTTTTTTGGTTGTTGCTGTTTTTGTTTTTCAAGACAGGGTTTCTCTGTGTACCCCTGACTGTCCTAGAACTCGCTCTGTAGACTGGGCTGGCCTTGAACTCAGAGATCTGCCTGCCTCTGCCTCCTGAGTGCTGGGATTATAAGTGTGCACCACCCCCCACCCAGCATGATAAAATCTTAATTGCAGCTGTGTCCTAAGGAGAGCTGTGACCTTAGGAAGCATGTGCTGTGATGGAAAGAGTTTCATCTTGATTTGCATTTGGATTAGATGCATATATACATTTGGCCAAAATTCATCATACATCTGAGATCTGTGCATTTTAGTACATATGAATTATTACTTAAAATAAAAAGAAACCAAAAAGTCCTGAGTATCTGCTATAGATCAGGTGCTGTTCCAAGGATATAGTTTATACAGACAAAAATACCCCTGCCCTTGTGAAAGGTACTTCTAGACTATACATCAGGTGTATAAATAAAATTCCTATACGCTAAATTAGAGCATTGCCATCACACATTTCCCCTGACTTAGAAAGCGGCTCAGAATGCCATCCGTCCTCACTGCTTTCTACGGTCCATCCTGCCATCCTGTTAGGAATTCTCAGCTTGTGGAGACAGGCCAGCCCACCTGTTTAGGAAGTGATATGTTGATATTTGGGATTTCCCGTGGGCCAAGATGTGCTAACTGAACTGAAAAACAGCCCCGGTGGGAAATCCCTGGGGGCCATATTTCATTTCTGTGCAAAGCAGGATTCATTTGGTTACATGCCTTGCGGGAGATTCTGGAGGTCCAGCTTGGTCTGGGAAATGCTTGAGGGGAGACAGCAGTGAGGCTGCCTCGGAACCCACGGTCTTCGTCTTCAACAGCTGGTTCCTATGCCAACTATTAAATAGCCTTTAAAAAGTACGTTCGGCAAGCTTCAAGAGATGCAGGGAGGCAAAAGCCACCTGTTCAAACAGAAGTTGAAGCCCGAGCAGCGAACTGAGCAACTGCAGACATCCCATAGACTGCCAATCTTTCGCTAGATTCCTTGGCTCCCCTTTGCAATAGTAAAGGTCCAACTAGCTGATGGGCCACGAGGCCAGAGAAGGCAAGAAACAGCTGTGGCTAATTCACTGAGTTGGTGCGCTTCCTTAGGATGTAGGCAAGAAGAACCTCAGAGTGTGGAGGGAAATGCATGAAGAAACAGCATTTGTTAGGGCCACTGAGAAAGGGCTGCCGAAGCCACTGGTGGCAGGGAGAGCGAGGAGCAGCTAGGGGGGAAATGGGTCTCGGCAGTCATCAAGGCCAGGTGACCACAATGACCATGATGACTGGCCAATGTCAGAGGGCAGGCAGCCACAGACGCTTGAGCATAGGAAATTGGAGCTATGGTCAGCGTGACATGGTCCAGTAGATGGGGAACTGAGAGCGTGGTTTAATACAATTAGAAGGTAAGATTAGAGAAGGAGGCTGAAGGAAGTCACATCAATGGAAGGTCACGCTCATGTGAGCAGATTTTGTGATCTGAAATCCACTGATGGGAGAGATGGCCAGTTCTCTAAGAAGAAGGGCCTGGTCCTTCCTCTGGGACCTATGACCATTTGCTTGAGTGACTTGGTATACTGGGAACAAGTAATACTGAGGCATTTCATAGGATCTGAGTTGATAGTGTATTCAATATTTCTCCATGGCACCTCACTCATGGGGATTTTGCAATTCTGGCTTACTGTTCCCAGGAAGCCATGCTTGGTATTTGGAGTGACCTTCCAGTTTGCCAGGCCTGTGAGTAAGAATTACCATAACGGAAAAGGCCAAATAAAAGCTTCTAAAGGTGATGTCCCAGCGGCACTCAGGCACGCATGATGTTGGGATGGTAACTGAGAGCTTTATATCCTGATCCACAGCAGAGGGAGGGAGGGAGGGAGAGAGAGAGAGAGAGAGAGAGAGAGAGAGAGAGAGAGAGAGAGAGAGAATAACACTGGGCCTTTTGAAACCCCAAATCTCGTGCCTAGTAACACTATGGAGGTCATTCTTATTCAAATCACCACAGCCATGGACACATTCCACACAGATCTCTCAAGAGAATCTGCTATGAGGAGAGTAGGTCTGGGGCCTCCAGCTATGTGCATGTGGGTGGAATTTGGCATTCTTGCCAAAGCACTACTCTCCATAGGCTGACCATACTTGGTGGCCAAACATGATAAAGCACCAGAACAGAGCCACACCTGCCCAACTTGGCATCCTCTGCTGGACAATCTTTGCTCTGGGGCTCCCTGCTGGCTCAGCTGAGAATCAGAGTTTGGCCGCAGTCTAAGCCTCCTCCGCCCAGGTCTCCTTTTCAGCTTTCCTGGTTCAGACGTCAGCAGCCCCCGCATCAGAAGTCTGAAGCCTCCTTCTGCCTCCCCCGCCGCACACAGTCCCTTTCACAAACAATCCCTTTCCGCTGATTGCGTTCTGATTGCATCTTCTTTAATGATCCAGTGTGACACAGCAGGACACAGAAAATAACTGACAGAATTCCCTCACTAAACAAAACTAGTAAACAAACAAAATCCTCTACTGCAGTGCGGGGAAGTGAATGGGTGGGGCTTTCAGATACCCGTTTTCTGGACAGTTTCAGAAACACAAGGAAATGATAACGGCCATGGAGAAAGCCTTGAGTGCAAAGCTGTATCCAAGTGTTCCTATAATTCCAAGTTCTATTAACGCCAGCGAACGCTCTCAGACGTGTAGGATGGAGTCCTCGTTCTCTGCCGTGATCTGGAAGCTTTCCTGATGAGTAGAAGTGGATAATGATTGAACCTGTGCTCCTGAATCTTAATTTCATGGAGCTTAGTCCATGCAACTAATCTCATCTCTTACCTGTCTGTCTGGACCCACCAAGGGCAGCTCTCCCCTTGATTTCCAAGGACATCATGAGAAGGCATCGATACACTGCACGTCACAGCTTACCTAAAAGATGGAAGAACATCTCCTAACCTACCTTCTCGTTCCCTACTGTGTGCCCACCAGGCAAAGCTGAGATTCTGAGAGAAGAGCTCCTTCTCAGGTATCATGGACAAAGGGAAGGATATAAACAAGACAGGGGTAATCAATTCCTTTTGTCCCGCCCAGTTAGGGTTCCTGTAGACACAAAACATACCACTCTGGAGAACACTATTCATCCGTGGACAGCAGTTGTCTGGAACCTCAGATTTAATTGCATTTCCCTGCTGTCTCTCCCTTTGCCTAAGGGAGAGGAGGTACCAGAATAATAGCAATGGCTTTGACTGACCTGGTCAATTTGTTCCTCTTGAGATGCTAGCTAATATGTGTAGCTTAAAATGCATTTTAAAGCCAGGAAGTGGTGGAGCACGCCTTTAGTCTCAACACTCGGGTGGTAGAGGCAGGAGGATCTCTGTGAGTTTGAAGCCAGTTTGGTCTACAGAGCAAGTTCCAAGACAGTCAAAGTTACACAGAGAAACCCTATCTCAAAAACAAAAAAATAAACACACAAAAAACAAAGAAAATAGCATTTTAAATACATTTTCCACAAAGTTTTCATCTTGCCTGAAATCTAGGGAAGATCATCCTTTGTATTCCGGAATCCTATCAAAAGATTATTTGAAATAGTTAGGCATTTAGTCAGCAACTACTGTACAGAACGGAATTGATTATAATTTATTTGCCTTGTTTGCCTGTCTTTCTCATCAGTCATTGAGTTCCATGCAGGCAAGAGCTGTCTTCATCTCTGTGTGCCCAGAGCATACTATTAGGCCGAATACATGGGGCAATCCATAACTGCTAGGTGAATGGATGAATGAATGAGGCATCCAGAATTCACTATCAAGGATGGCTTTGTTGCGTAGAAAGCAATGTAAGAAAAGTGGGGATTATAAATTATGAGAGGATCCAGGACCATCTCGGTTAGTGGGAGGTGGAGGAAGAGAGAGGGTTGGGCATTTGGGAATGCAAAGGCCTGACAGCATAAAGTCCACACATTGAGGTTCATGAGAGTGACCTGAGGGCACCAGGCCATGGAGGCTGATGTGGCCGATGGCAGCAGGCAAGGACAGTTGATACAAACCCACCCCTTATACTGCTCTGCCTCACCTCCATGGTCAGCCTCAGCACTGCAGACTGCTTCACGTGAATAAAGTCCTTGTTAAACTCCACTCTAGCCCTTGTTTCTAGGCAAGCAGAATGGCATGTAGCCTTAGCAACAGTCTCCTTCAGCCGGTTTCTGTACTCTGTCCTTGGCCTGATATTTTTATTAGAGATAGCGCACTCCAATAACCTCCTCAATGGAGGATGTGAGTGATTTGAAATGGTTTTCCTAACAAAAATAAGCGGCTGGTACCCATGTGTGAGAAATTAATGAAGTCCTTCATTCACCCACTCGTTAGAGAACAGGAATGTAAGCATGATTCTTCATCTGGTAGAGTCGTTTATGTGGGTCAGTTCATGCCTGGACATAGGGACCTGCTCCCCCAGAACAAGACAACAGGAACCATGTTGTGGATCTGTAGCCATGACAGGAGCAAGCAGAGCCAGTGGGAAGGCTGGGGAGCACTGAACGCCACCAGATGAAGGGTGAGCAATTTCCAGTTTCAGATGCTGGCCTGGTAGTCTGTAAATGAGCAAACATTTAACAAATGTTCACAGAATTAATTAAAGAATCTGATGAACTGTGTGAGTCAGGGCAGAGTTGGAGGAAAACTGCAAGTACGTGCTCTTGGCAACCTGATGATGGAGGAAAAGGAGATGGAATGGCTGAACAAATGGCAAACACCCTAAAAATAAATAAAAATAAATAACAAATAAATGAATGAATGAATGAATGAATGAATGAATAAAGGATACCCAGGTCATTAGTGTGTCTCGGCACCCTGTTTTTCTGAGACCCATGATAATTTTGATTACTGGATAAACATTGTAGTCCTCTCCAGGACTCTATGGGTCCCAGGAGTTACTGCTGACAAGTGTAGAACTGGGTGGGGACTCAAACATCATCACAAAGGATCAGTCTCACCCACTGATTCTACACTGTGGTCTTTCCCGGCAGCCTCCTCTACCCAAGACTTACGGCCCTTACACAGTCCGCTTGATTCTAGTGACTTATGTTTGTCTTTGGAAAGCATTTTCACATTGTAGGCAGAAAGTAACACAAATGACTATTTCTAATACTACAATAGGCATTATATGGGCAAATATTTAACTGTCCAGAGAGAAGGTCTTCAGTGGGCTAAATCTAAGTGTTTTGCTTCCTTTCAGAATTGGAAACTGAATTGTTAAATCCAGAGGGACCAGACCAGAAGAATGGCATCTTCACATTTGATGGGAGAAGTGTAAAGCATGCTAAACTCTAAGGCCAAAGAAGAGTCCTGGGGACTGGAGGGGTCTACCTCAGTCTAAGGACCACGAAAGGGCAGAAGCCAATGCTCTGCCTAGCATGGTCTGTCTTCTGAGGGACTGGCTGGAAGGCTGCTGGAACATTAACAACTATGCTCAGTTTTCTTCTCCCAAAGCAGTAACTGAAAAAGGAAAATACGACTCTGTTGAATCAAACACCTTCTCAAAACTCAAGTCATTCCATAAACGGAGGGAGTGAGGCGGATGGATTAAGATGGCCTTTGTTGTGACAATAGTGGCTGTAATTGTCAGAGAGTGTTCAATATGGCACAGGCTTTATCTAAACTGTGTTCATCTGGCTGGACGTTGTGGTACACGCCTTTAATCCCAGCATTCGGGAGGCAGAAGCAGACGATTCTCTGAGCCAGAGAGAGAGAGTTCCAGGACAGCCAGGGCTACACAGAGAAACCCTATCCTGAAAAACCAAAAATTAACCAACCAACCAACCAAACAAACAAACCAGTTACCATAGGTTGGTGTGGTTTCCTGTACCAGACAGAGCCCAGGGGCTAACAAGCCTCAGAGACGTCCAGTAACTCTCTCAGCTCACCCAGCTTGGAAGGGAGTGTCCAAGCAGGCCTGTGTGTCTCTAAAGACTATTTCCTCCAGTTCTCATCTTCAACAGAGAGGAGGAGGGAGGAGGATTGAGAGAGTCCGGGAGATTTTTCCGAGAGCAACGGCAAGTCCTTGTAATGAAATAATATCAAAGTGGGCACAATGAAGGTTATAATAGCTAGAATGAGAAACACAGTGGTAACTGCAAAGATGCTCTAAGCATTTAAAGAATAGCGTATTTGTCTTCTGAACAACTGTGTACTTCATTTGAGCACATCATCTAGATCTTATTAGGACTCAATCGATGTTTGGAGCCAATAAATAAATGTGTACCTCTATCAAAATAAGATTGGCTTTTTGCCTGGGCAATAGGTATTTCTGCATGCTTTACATTTCCTCTCTCGGACAGTAAGTGTTTTAACATCAATAGCCTTTTCCATTTATGCAGCCCTCTATGGTCAGCAAGCATCATTTTACTCAGAGCGACGCTATGAGGTTTGGACAGCGGGAATTACTTTTTCCTATTTTTAGGACTCTGGAGCACAGAGAGGTTAAGTGAAACATCCAAAGTCACATAGCTAGCTCCACATCTGTCCTCCTGCCAATGTTCAGAGTCCTCTTGGGAGAAATGTCCCTTTCTGATTCATCACTGAAGTTTAACACAATCAGACCCACACCTTGGTCCCAACCATGTTTCATATTTATCTCTTGGGTGGTTTTAATGAGTGACTGACTGCATAGGGAAGAAATGAATGAAACACTACATACAATGGCCTAATGAGGGTTGTACGGAGGCAATATGACTTTCAGATTTGGATGGAGAATAGTCTAGAGAATTATTTTTGCCTGTGCACATTTCATTTAAATGAGTGACCTCCCAAATGCACAAGGGAGATCATTTTGCTGCACTTTCTAGTTGGAGAATGTTTGTTTTAGGTCATTTTGGAGCCATAAATCTTTCTAATCGGTGCCTAATGGTTCTGAGGATGACTCAAGCCAGTATCCCATTAATTGAAAGAAGAATGTTGTCATCTGTCACAGAGATTTCTCATTATGTTCTATCAAATTCAAAACAGAGCCGGGTTTGGAATTCTTTTATGAACAGTGTAATTACACCACATCCTAGGGTGTTTGGAAGTAGTACTCACAATTAGCATCCCTGTCATGAGTGGGAAGTGATCCGTGCTAAACAGGAGTGGGACCAGATGGGCCTCACCAAGACCCCCTCCCCGCCCCCTTCAGCTTCATTAAATTAAGCTGTCCCTGTGTGTGTGGAAAGGGCATAAATCAATCTTTTACCTCTGTGTGTATTAAAGAAATGTGTCGTTTCCATTAATTAAAAGTCAAGCATTGCTGTTTGTAGTGGTAGGGCAGAACTGGCATTTATTCCAGAAGATTCCAGAGAACCAGCTAGATGCTGGTACAGATGCCACAGGCCCTAAGTAGGCTTAGCAGCTTGCAGAACTCAGATGACAATCAGCCTCCCTTGCCCTTGTCCTGGAAGGCAAAGAGCAGCACCCCCAGAACCCCCAGGTTTCTGCTTCCTCACTGCAGAGTAGCACCTCAGGGACACAGTCAGTACTCTCCACAATGTGCAGAAGGCTCTGCCCTCATGGGAGGGATTCCTGGGCTTGTGAATCCCATGTAGCACATATGCTTTATCTTGGGGGTTCCAGTTTACCCCTGATTCTGATAGGGTTGTTGCTGTGGGATGGTCTGTATGTCAAATGTGTTGCTCTGATTGGTCAATAAATAAAACACTGATTGGCCAGTGGCCAGGCAGGAAGTATAGGCGGGACTAACAGACAGGAGAATGGAGAGAACAGGAAGGCGGAGGGAGACACTGCCAGCTGCCGCCATGACAAGTAGCATGTGAAGATGCCGGTAAGCCATGAGCCACGTGGCAAGGTATAGATTTATAAAAATGGATTAATTTAAGATATAAGAACAGTTAGCAAGAAGCCTGGCACGGCCATACAGTTTGTAAGCAATATAAGTCTCTGTGTTTGCTTGGTTGGGTCTGAGCGACTGTGGGACTGGCGGGTGACAGAGATTTGTCCTGACTGTGGGCCAGGCAGGAAAACTCCAGCTACAGGTTGTGTTAAATTTTGTTTTATTTTGCTTTGCTTTTTATCTTTTTGTTTGTTTTGTTTGTTTTTTTTTTTTTAAGACAGGGTTTCTCTGTGTAACAGCCAGGTTTTTTTTTTTAATCTTCTTTACTTCACCTTTACCATCCCATCTTCCCTACTCCTGTACTGTCTTCTTGATTCTTTTCTGTAAATGCGAATCTTAAAAGGTCTTATTAATAAAAACAAACCCGAAGCCAGGTATGGGGTGAATGAATGCTGGAAGATCAGAGAAACAGAACAGGCCACAGCCACCTCACCTTGCCAATTCCTCAGCTGATCCTGTTTCCTCAGACTGGAAGCCTCTGTGTCCTCATCTAAATGAATCTCATCTGAACTGTGCTGCTCAAAGCCTAAAAGCTTAACCAGCCAAAAGCTTCTAGTCTCTGGTCTTCAAACCTTATATACCTTTC